GTCAAGATAGGGAAGGCTTGATGGTGGTCGATCAGAGAGAAGGGCTAGAAGACACAGTGATGCCAGAAAGGTGTGTGCTGATGGTTTATCAACACGGTAGGATAGAAGAGAAGATGGTAATTGGCCTGTGATGAGAAAGTTCTGTGCAGAGCCATGCACAAACTGGACAAGGCGGCGGTACTTGGCTGTTTTGTCAGGATTGTCAATGATCTCCACAAAACTAGAGCACAAGGTTCTAAGGAAGTGTTCTGGATTTATGGGTTGAGGGTGGGAAGTGAGTGTTGGCTGTCCAGTGGCTGAGAAGTCAACTGCAAGAAGTCCAACAAGCTCAGAAGGAGAGAGTGGTCGCTGGGCAAATGCAATGCACTGGAATATTTGCTGTCTTTGCCTTGCAACAGTTTCATTTGACTCAAGGCCTTCAAGGATCCGCTCGTATGTTTGAGAAATTGTTCGGGGCAAATTGGCCAGGGCCTTCTGAATATTGCCAGGAAGACAGCTGCGTAGCATGTCAAGCTGCAGATTGACCCAGAGAAACCTTACATGAAATTAGAATAGATTAAAGTGAAAATGAAATGCTTAACTCACATGCCACTGGCCATTAACTTGAGTTCTTTCTCAGCAACCACTTTGACATCAGCAGGCCACTCTGAATAGTCATCTCCAGCAAGACAATGGGATATGTAGGTGGCTAAGTCACGAGTGTGTGCATCAGCATCATGGAGTCTGAGCTGATGAGCAGGAAAATCATCCATGGCCTTCTGGATGTCAGCCTCAGGCCGACTTGTGAGAAGAATGCGTAGCCCTGGAATGTCCTTTGATACCAGTCTGTGAAGGGTAGGAAATAGCCCATCTTGCCTAGTGGAGGGTGAGCACTCATCAAGAGCATCAATGATGATGACTGCCCCAGCAGAAGTCTGCAGTATCCGCTCTAGGCAGCTGATGAGAAGCTCTCTGGTTGGACTCAGCTTGGCTCTGTTGTCTTTGCGGAACTGCTCCAGAACTTTGTGGCACTGTTCAGAGCATGTAGCAAGTTGGTAAATGAGAGATGCCAGCAGGCCTGTCACAGTCTGCATCTCAGTGCGGCGGTAGTCAAAGTAGAAGTAGGCCACATGCAGGCCAGGGGTGGATGAGACATGCTCAATGATAGACGAGCTGCAGTTGCCATGGTGCACCATTAGCACTAAATGGGTGTTAGCCAAGGTGTACACACCAAAGAACACTCTTTCCAGTTCCAGCTACACACAGAGTTATTGCATGCCTGCCACAGCTGAATTGAAGACTTACGATTTCCATGGATCCAGTACACACCATTGTTACTATTCTTCCACTCCTCAAACTTGCTGTCAAAGAACCACATGCACGTGCCGGTCAAGTGTGAAGTTCGCCGCTCTTCATGAGTTTGACTTGGATCAGGAGGAGCTAGCCAATCTTGAATGTCCTTGTCAACTGCAGATCTGGTTGAGCTAGAGTGAATTTTACTGAGAAGCTGTTCTCACGATGCAGATTGAGAGATTTGGCTCCAGTAGCCTGCAGATCTGCCACATTATTGCCCACTAGAAGTATGTTGGATGAGAATATGCAAAGATATGTGGTAATGCAAAAGTGACAGACCAGCCTCGACATCATCACCTAGTTTCATGACATTGTTGCCGATCAGCCCGACGTTAGCATCGACGCTTTGCACGACATCAAGTATCTGAGCCGCGGCGGCCAAAAGTTCCTCTGCCGTCAGCCTATCTAGCTCCTTAAGGGCATCTTCGACATCCTTGTCTCCAAGGAGAGCCCGGCCATAGTCCTCTGTCTCGATAATCAGGAATAGAATTCATCATGATTTGAAGATATCCCCTACTTGTGCGCTTGCAGATCACCGTACGCCATGATGTCCGCTTCCTGATGTATTTTGTACAGATGGCGAGCACGTTGAGCAGCTGGATGAGTGCGCCGACGAAGATGCCTTCCAGCTCGACGCTGAGAGCCGAGCATGATTGCAGGTGATTGCGGAGGCGACTGAGAACTCCTCCGAGCCTCGAGAGAAGTCCTTCGAGGTCGTCAAAGCGCTTGCTAACTTTCTCCGCTGCCTTGATGACCGTTAGCTCGGGCAAGAACAGTTTACATGGCGCAGACACAAGTGACAGGCGTACCTCTAGAAAGACTCCAAACGCCGTGAAAATGGCCTTGCCACCAGGCACCACACTCTGATCGGAGATGAGTGAAGGGCAATTAGCATAAGCAGAGAACGCACCGAAGCCGCAGCTATCTCGCCACCAGCGTCGACGAACAGCTTCGTGAGGGTAACGATTGGTGCTATAACAGCCCGAGCCTTCTCGCCGTTGGCACGAAAAGCCTTGAAGCCTTTGTCGTGTTCCCTGAGAATGCTCTCGACTTCCTCGATGGATCCCGCGCCAGACATTTTATCGAAGAGAGATGAGCAACGGAGGTCCTTGCCCGTAACATCGTTGTACTTCTTCATAGCGTCCTCCCAGAGCCTCTGGAAGCCCAAGGAGCCAGCTGAAGCATCGTGATCTCCGGTTCCAGGCTGCGTGTTTGGAGTAGACATGATCAGAGTCAAAGTCGCTGTCGAATATGTAGTACGATGAGCGAGGGAGGAGAGACGAGGCGAGTACTACGAGGACTTCGCGCCCTGATACCAGGACCGCGCTGTGATAGGCAGGCGATGCTCAGACGCCACATGGCACGTGGCACGAATGCTCTCTGGATAAATGCAATGTTCACCCACGCTCAATGGCCTTTCCAGAGACCGACGCTGGGGACCAACATTGCGATTCAATCGAGGGATTATCGATAATCATATTCGGGTCTATTTCTGCGCACGTAGCCTCAGCCTCACGCGTACTACTTCCAGCGAGCACCGGCAGCTGGCCACCAACCACTGAATACTGAGTATGTCGCCCGACGTAGCGGACATGCCTGGCCATACAAATGTCGAGGTTAGAGAAGTGTTAGTCTGCTGCACTTGAACAGCCTTGTCAGAGATCCTTCGAAGATTATATCAGCGATAGACTTGCACAGATCCGCGAGTGCGCTCACCGAGAGAAGCCACCCCGGCAGCTGATACTCCTGCAGCACATGAAGCACGGTGAGTATCAGCAGTGTTCATCCGAGTGAGGTAGCGTGCTCCGTGCAGTGTCGACTATATTGACCCAGACCCCGGCCGATACGTCAGATAACCGCGCAGAACGAAACCGCACAGCGCAAATTGATGCGGGAACGGTTGAGCTACATGACTCTTCCCCGATAAAGGGCCTGATTCAGGCTTCGTACGGTGGTCGCGTACCAAAGAGTCACGCAGAGAATCTGACAGCAAAATGAGGCAGATTAGTTGGAGTGTCTAGGATGCCTTGTGCGACGTACACCTTCCAATGCGATGGTGCGTACATAAACATGCACTGGTGTACTCTTCTGCCGAGCATACGACGGCAGAAACCGTTTAAATTTGCAGCAGTTCCGAATTGGCGTAATTCGGAGACGTCCCCTCCGTTGCGGCACATATGGAGTGAGCGGCGTATGCGCTAGCGGAGACGCACATATACAACCTAGAGACGTTACAAAGGTATGAGTCAAGCAGCGGAGACGTCCCAAGACGCGCAATCATACCACTCTGTTTCTGGTCTGCGTCCGAGACATTGATCTTGTGCGGAGAAGTTAGGTGTGGAGGTGGACCACGTACTCGGCACGGTCCACGTTAGACCATGTCGTCAGCGACATTGTCCATCTGAAAGGCGACGATGCATCCAGGGGATCTGCTACGTCGTTGATAATGCATGAATTACGTGTAAAATGGAACGTACCCGTTTCCAACGTGTCCCCTGAGGACGAACGCACTAGTCAAAATGGGGCCGGACTCCGGAAGCGTGCTCTTCCAGGCAAGCATGAGTGGGCGAACATGCACTGGGACATGGAGCCTTTCTATCTTAGACACAGTCGTAGGTTTTGAGCAGACGATGGGAGAGACGAAAGCGAAGTGATCAAGCGACCTGCCTCTGCTTCAAATGAGCGCGCTTACAACCCTCCACGTGTAACAGCGCACACTGCTGCCAAAGAGCGCTCCCGCCTTGTCTTCTGGCGTCGACGCTCTCCTCATATACTCCAAGTTCACCTGGGCCGCCCCACCGCCCGGCCTCGGCTTCAGTCCCGGCTGCTGGCTGCTAACTCGCTCCAATACCCCTCCGCGCCCTCTGCCCCTCCGCCTGCTGACATAGACCTGTCCCCAGAACTCAACGAGACACCTATGGAGAGGATAGGGAGCTGGCAGGCCCCGAGAGTAGTGCACATACATGTGGCTAGACTGGCTGTAATGTGCGTCGCCTAGTTCTCGCCGAGTAGGCCGTACTCATGCGAGTAGCTGCTCTAGGACACGTTGGGCCTGGCGTATTATAGCATAACACATGGACGGAAGACAAGATACATTCGTCCCTTCGACGACCACACAGGTGGCGACAGCACTGTCCGTCTCACAAGACCGCGTATCGCTCAGAAAGGTTCATGGTGAGACTATCTCTGGCCGCCTACCACGTTGCACGAGGCCTAACGCGAGCTCAAGCGGCGCAGTTTGCTGAGGCTCCTTATTCCGCCGACTATATATGCCCCTGCCACGTTCTTTCGGAGTGTCGCTCAGCAACAGCCTCGCGCAGTCTACCTACGACCACTGCGATCCACCGGCGAGGACAGTGAAGACGACTTACTCGTTGCCGCACAATGTCGGCAGCACATGCGGTCGTAAGAATGCGCCAAGCCAGAACTACAGGAGCAAGTTATATATAAACTGTGTATAACTTATGTGCCCATCGTTTGACGTTCGGGTACAAGTTACGACTGCAGATGGCACGGGCACTAAGCGCCCCTACCCTTCACCTCCACGTCTTGAAAGTATTCCAACGTTCGCGGCTCGAGGGGTCACCGGTCGGCTGACAGCAAGATGCACCGTGAGGAATGAATCCTAGCCGCACGTCGGTTGGGGATGCACCTGTCCCACTCATCTGCCACAGGATGCCGCTGCTTAGGCAAGGCAGAACAACGATGAAAGGAAGGCCACCGCCGCGGGCCGAGCAGGCGCACGACTTGCGGCGCACGGCACAGCCGAGCGCATTTGGGCGCCAAGCAATGCGGGGTTGCTGGTCGGGTTTACACGCTAGCTCGTACGATACATGGAACACGAGCATACCAGAAGACGAGTCTCATGTGGCGAAGACGGCGTGGTGACTGAACGGAAACAATCCTAACGCTGCAGCTAACACGCAGTGGACCGTATGACAGACACCGCGTAGCCCCGATATAAGCCGATTGGCGCAAGACACAGAAACTGCGCAGTGCCGCAGACTGAGGTGAGCTTTCCGCTCTGTTTCGTCGTGTTGGTGCTGAACGGCGGTTATTGCTCAGATGGACGTCTGTGCGGGTGCATGGCGGTGGTGGTAGTGAGTTGATATCGAGACATGTTGGATGACGAGGATAGAATAGCGAAAGTAGCCATGTACATATTAGCTGTTCGTGTGCAGAATACAGCAATGAAGAGAGTTTACCAGTAGCACTGTTGGCCTGCAGTTTTCAACAGTATTCGCCTGAATGAACGGTTCTTGTTTGGTTGATCCCGGCAAGGTTTCCTCGAGACAAACCGCACTTACCACTCGCGACAGCAGCCATCCAAGAGAGGCTGATGCCTCGCGAAAATCTGCAGCATTGTTCAACACACGTATCGCATGTAGTTATGATTTACTCATTCTCGACCCATTTTCGACAGTCAAGGACGCGTGCAGACTCGCCGGTGCTGGCGTCGACGACGACAGAAATGTCCTACGACTTCGACTTCTCTACGTGCATTTAGTGATTCTCAGATGATAGACCACATCGCACAATTTGAGGCTCCTGTTCAATTAAATTCATATTCAACAAGTTACAGGTTCCGACATGAAGACGAGTGAGATGGAAGCGACGCGAGCAGCCCGCCTGATGTCGCGCTCCTTAAGTAAAGTGCTTCAAGCGTGAGAGGCACATGTGCCGACAGAGCCAGTCAAGAGCACACTATGTCGATACGGATATCTCGACCGCCCATCGAGGGGAGACCGCGCTCCAGACTACCATAGCATATATATTAGGTGGGGCGCGGGTCAAGTGGGTAATGGTACGTACGCGCCTCTCGAATCTCTCATCGATATTTGTCGTCGCCCTGCTCCTTCTACCTCACCCGCGCCTCTCGAACCGCAGCCGTAGCTCGAACAGAATAGTTTGACTCGGTGTATGTATTCCAGGACTCTTGCCGCATATGAAGCCCTCGAAATATTCGCAAAAACCTCGTCGCGACCGATGGTACTTGGCGAGCGGTGCCATCACCTGTGAATGACAGACTGTCCGGTTGTCAGCAGGGGGGCTAGAACTATGTACTCGAGCGAGCTTACCGATAAAGGCGAGAGAGATGTACAAGCTCAGTGAGCTCACCAACGAGCTTATCAAACGAGCGCGTATTTGTGCGAGGCGCGCTACTTTCCACATTACACTGCAAAAGGAGGTTAGCCTTTTCACGACAGCAACGTATAATGGAGCGATTGACCTTCCAGTACAGCTCACGCAGGAATTTGTTCGCCTCTTCCGTGTGCAGTCTTCCCGCCAGAATCTTCGCCCCAAGCTTCTACATGGTGTCGTACCGCGCCCATGGCCACTTCAATTCCAGCTCGTACACCTCCTCGCCGTCCTTGCTCTCTGGGTGGAACGTCGCCGTCGTCTTCCCACCAGTGAGGTACCTGATGAGACCTCAATCAGGCTCTCGGTGGTGTCCATGATGTCGTACATGTCCGCGCACGCCGCGTGGCACTCGCAGGTCGCAAATCCAGGGTTGTACGTCAGGTCTATGCCCGCGTTGCGGAGCAGACGCCCGATCTCGTACACTCGGTTCGGACCGCCAATGACGACCTGCTTCAGATACAGCTCGTGGGCGGCACGGAGGTTCAGGTCGAGGTAGAGACCGTTGTGGTGCACGATGAACGACTTCGCGGTCGCGTTACCGGTGACCATGCTCGTTATCAGCATTCCGACCTCGGGAACTTGAAGCTAAGGTTGTCGAAGAACCGGCGAATATAGCTGGACATGCGACTTCAAGCGACGAAGGAGCGCCTTGCGTGCTCGTGAGGACGAGGCCCGGACAGCGCTTCTGGTAGCATCTTTCCCGACCCGTGAGCCCAAAGCGCCCGATGGTAGCTGGCGTAGGTATGATGCGAGAAAGATCGTTTCTGAGGGAATGACCGAGAGCTCGTCCTTCGTGGTGCGTCCCGAGGTTCCGATGATACCGACGATATCGCCGCGAAGGCAGTGCTCGTATTGCGCGACAAAGTCTCCTCGGTCCTTGACATCTCTGAAGAACGATGTTTCCTGTGAGATTGTAGTCAACAAAAGGCTAAAAAGACTTACTGTTCGACCTCAATGATCTACACCTTCCTACCCTCGCCGTGGGGACGCACAGATATTGCAGGTACGTCTCACAAGGTAAACAATCGAACGACGACGACGGAATTGTCGATGAGAGGGGGCCCGCCAACAATCAAGTTGCGATAACGGACGACATCTCGTGGCAATCTTGGAAGTTCTGTCCAGACTGTGAGCCCTCAAACTCCGTTGACGCCGTCCATGGGTATCTCGAATTGGCCAGCAAGCGCGCGCATGCCGTGGCCTTCGCTATTTTTTGAATTTGTCGCAACAAAATCTTGCCCAGCCGCGAAGGTCAACAACGCGGAGTGAAGCATGGATGTGAGTCGGTGGTGATTTGGAGGCTATAGCATTTGATAGATAGGGCTCCTCCAGCATGAAGAGGCGGATGTACTGGCTAAGTCGGCTAGAAACATCCCCAGGCGGCCGACACCCGCCCGTCGGCGGGAGACCACGCTCCAGACTAACAAAACAGGATCGTTAGATGAAGCACAAGTAGAGCAGAGGAGGATACGAACGCGTCAACAAACGTCTCATCAGTTGACGTGGATCTCAAGGGAGGAGAATTGCGCCATCCGTGAGCGAAAAGTAATGTGGAGGTCATCCTAGAGGACTACGAGGAGAGAGGTGCCCTCAGACCAGAGAAGCTCGTCGCCTCCCGGTCGCCCGTCGTGCGCGAGAAGACCGAGATGAGCCCGTCTAGAAGGGCCCAACGGGACCCGTGGCGCTGGCCCCACTGTCTGAATCGGCTTCATCGCTGGGAACAACAAGAATCTTTCAAAGTCTGACTGAATGGTCAGCGAGAACGGAGAACGGAGAGCACACAGACGTACCAGCACAGTCGATCAGAAGCATCATTAGACGGTCGATACCAGCACCCCACCCGCCGGTCAGTGGGAGGCCATGCTCTAGACTAACAAAACAAGATCATCAGCATTAAATGAAGCGCACACGCAGCAGGGAACGGTACGCACGCGTCAATGAACATCTCAGTGATCCCCTGCGCCTCGTCGACGTCCTGCTCCTTCTGCCGAACCTGCTCCTCGAACCGCAGCCGTTGCTCAAATGGATCATCCAACTCCGTATAGGCATCGGGGAGATTGGGCAAGCCGTGGGTGCAGCTGGCAAGCGCGATGATCCAAAGCGCTCACACAACAGACGTCACGCGCCTTCTGTGTCGTCTGGACCCGGTCTGGCCCACGGCACCTCCGGGCCGATGTGCTGTCCGTATTGTTGCTCTTTGCTTTCTTCGCCTTCTCTGCCATTCCTGTATGCTAGGAAATCCACGAGCGCCTTGAGACACAATAAGTCGTGCTCGATCCTGTCCTGGTGAGCACGTTGTATGCAACGTTAAGCAAGAGCATCTTGACGTCCCTGCTGTGCCGCTCCCGGAGCTCGAGGGCTTGGATGAGTGGCGACACAAGGGAACGCAGACGCGCCTGCCGCCTCCGGCGCACGGTATGACGCTTGCTCCAAGTGAAGCCGGCGAGCTCGAGCCGTTCGCGCGCCGGAACGTCGTCAGGCCCACGAGGACCTGCAAGAGCGCGCGGAGCGACGAGCGTGGCCTCGTCATTTACCACGCCCAGCCGCTGGAGCTTGGGCAGAGTGGGGAAGCGGTGCCTAAGAACAGAATTTGTTGTCGTGATATCGAAGAGTTCGATGCATATATCTCGAAAGATCGGAAATTCGCAACGAACGCGAGGGGGACGTCGTGAGGGCGACCCCGGAAGGTTACATTAAGAGAAGTGTCCTTCGCCTCACCCTGCCACCTCTTGGCCACCTGATGTGCGTGAGAAAAACGAGGCGTCTTCCGTGTGCGCACTATTGCGACGCTTTCGTCCATTGACGCTGCTATGCGCCGAGATGTCGAGCATTCGCGCTGGCTCTAGCTGGCCAGTCAGAGGGGTTTCGGATAGGATAGGACCGCTACAGACGTTCAGACTTTCTCAGGGGGTCGACATGATCTGCAGTGCCTGCCGCGGTGTCGACCGGCTTTATCACAGGGATCTCCTTATGTCTAAACGGACGGTCAGTGTGAACACCAAGAACAGGAGGGAGGTGCACATACTGGCAGAGTCAGCCAAGAACGTCGCCAGACTGCCCCGCTTCTCGTCGTCACCCTGCTCCTTCCACCTCAGTCGCTCCTCGAACCGCAGCCGTTGCTCAAACAGATCATTCAACTCCACGCACGCATTACGGACCTCCATTTGGCACATGAAGCCTTCAAAATGTTCGCAAAGACCGGGCCGTAACTGGTGGCACTTGGCGAGTGGTGACATCCGCCCGTCGGCGACCAACTATCCGATTGTCAGTAGAGCCCTGGGATAATTTACGCGAACAGATTTACCGGTGAAGGCGGGGGAGACGTGGAGAGGCTCAACTCGCCGACAAGATTGTCAAGCAGGAGCACATTCCTCCTGGTTCGCCACACTCCACGAAGTGCTGCAGAAGGACGTTGAGCTTTCATTGCGACGTCGATGGACGAAATAACAGACCTTCTGGTTAAAGCTCGCGCAGGACCATGTCATATCACGCCCATGAACACTTGAAGTCCAGCTCACACTCCTCGTTGTCCACGGCCTCAGGGTGAAACATTAGCGTTGTATTCTCGCCAATGAAGTACTTCAGAGGCTCTCGGTGATGTCCATGACATTGAACTCGCAGATCGAGAACTTGAGGCTGTGTGTCGAATCGACGCCCCCGTGCACCCGGTCCAGACGACGATGCGACTGCGGGTAATGAAGATGCGCCTTGCGTTCTCGTGAGAAC